GCAGGAACCTGATCCTCAGGGGACAAGAAATCAACGAACCCAGGCTTCCATGCTGCTGGCCGCCCAAACCTCTTCGCAAGCTCATCCTCGGCAACCAACTTGAACCCGGGGCTCTCAGGGGCCTCGGCCGGCTCGGCCCCGTCGGCAGCATCACCGATGGGAGCTCGCTCTTCATCTTCATCAGCGCTCGCTCCCGGAATGGACAACGACACTGAGGTAACCTCTGCCTGCTCAACCAGCGGGGCGTCCTCCTCCTCATCACTTGAGTCCTCCTCAAAGGAATAGTTTTCCGTTGCACGTTCATCCTCCGAATCATCGAACTCGGCCAAAGCCTTTGCAATTTCCTCATCATTGCCAAACACTCTTGGCTGCACAGCAGTCATGCTGCGCACAGGTGTTGGGATCACAGGCTGCATGATCGGCTCCTCCTGATCCGGGGCCTTGCCCACATCCTGACCTCTTGCACACTTCGCTGCATGCTCAGCCTGATCCGGCGCCTTGCCCTCATTCCTTGCTGCCCGCTTCTTGTCCATGTTCTGCTTAAACAGGCGCTTCATTGCCAGTGCATGACTCACCGGCTTTGCTGCTGTCACTGCGGGCACTGTTGGTTCCGGCATCACCTGCTGCTGTGCTGGGGTTGCAAGTACTGTCTCTGGCGTTGGAGTTGGCTCCGGCATTGGAGTTGGCTCTGGCATTGGAGCTGGCTCTGGCATTGGAGTTGCCACTACTGGCCGGGGCCATGGCTCACAGATTGTATCATATCCGGTCACATGCACTGCAAACCTGTTGTGGGCTTTACGAAGTCTGGGTGGCGCAGTTTCCTCCTGCTCTGGGCTGTTGTCGGGAGGGGCACATGTGGTCGATTGCTCGCAGACTCCGGTAGCTGCCGGCACAGCCTCATGGGTACATATTCGTACGTGAGTATACACATGCATGCACGTGCGTGCCCACACACAAACTTATAAATTTCAATTCACAGCCGTGTTGCCGAAGGAAATGAAGCCGCCAAGGCGTCGAGATCCATGGGCAGGGTGTCGACATTGTCAAGGCCTCCAGTGGCAGTAGGGGTTGATTAGGGGTGATTGGGATTCGGGTTTGCAACACGTACACGTACGATATTGAGTTGAGTTACATCCAGAAGGAACAGGCGGAGGGCAAGAGCTTTGAGCTGCTTGAAGCTCCTTGAGCTGCTTCTTCAACTGGAGTAGCTCCGTCAACTTCTGCAACTGATCGATGAGCTGTTTCTGTTGAGCAACCTGGCTTCTCATCGATGTGTGCTAGCTCTCGAACCACATTTCAGATCTGGCAATAAGAAGCCTAGCTACCGGGTCCTGCTGCGCCGTCTTGTTGGGAGTCACCAACACCGCATTGCTACCTGCAACAATATGGATCAATCATAATGTACATATGTACATGCTAGCTGGTGTTTGACTGCATGATGATCGGCAATGCTGGCCTGTGGGAGATGCTGTACTGATAGGGCTCATCTCGTAAGTAGGGCTTGACTCGACAGCGGGGCTTGGCTCCACAGCAGGGATCATCTCGGGGTTTGTACCGCTAGCAGCACTGGTCTCCACAGCACGGCTCATCTTAGGGCTTGTCTTGACAGCAGCACCGTTGGTCTCCACAGCAGGGCTCATCGTAGGGCTTGTATCGACAGCAGCACTGGTCTCCACAGCACGGCTTGTATCGACAGCAACACTGGTCCCCACAGCAGGGCTGGTTTCGACAGCAACACTCGTCTCCACAGCATTCTCGATGGCCCCTGTAGGGACCACCAAAGCGGGAGCTCTGCTTGCACTCTCCTGTATCAAAGCAAAGTCTGAATCCCTTGGCAAGCCGATCTAAACAGCAGAAAGCTGAATGTCCTCTGCAGGTGCAGAAACTTCGCGATCACCCAGGTCCGGAATTGGCAGGGTACCTTATGTTAAGCAGTGGGATGGGATATCTAAAGGAGGAGTCTGAGAGTTATAATCTAGGCAGGTTTACCACATACCGTATTCAACATGCGGTAAACTATTGGCCGGTGCATGTACAGTTTCATATGTATAGTTTAATTTACGGGTCTTACAGCCCAGGCACTAGGAAGCTCCTCTTCATCATCAGTCAAAGCTTCTGATTCTCCAGCTTCCGAACATCCCTCATCCTCTGAACTCGCACGTGTACTGCTCTCATCACCATCAGCGTTGGGGGTGACTGTCAACCCAACACTTTCCATAAGCCTGACATCGCAGCCTCCCTTGGCGTGTGCCCTCGCCGAACAATCAGATTGAACATTGAGATCATACGACGGAGGGCCCATCCCTGGGTATACACATGTGCAGCAGGAATTGTCAGCTGCATCAGATCAAAAAATGATCTAATATGCAGCATACACGTCTGCACACTCGGTCGCATCCCCAGGTGTTGTAAAGCAGACTTGAGAACCGCCTCGTTCTGCACGATGCTCTCCCTTGTGGTCCCAGTCCCAGCAACTTGAACCTAGGACAACATGCGATCGAGTTACTGTGCTTGGGTGGGTGCTGGAGTTAGGATATGCATGGTAACTTCAGCAGCTAGCGCTTCCAAGAAACAAGCACCAGCTTCTGAGCTAGGCGTCGAAGCTCCGGAACGGCTTCCCACTCTTCAGCCAATCGAGTCGTCATGGCCAAGCGTATGCAACCAAAGCCCGAAGCGGAACAATGCTCAACCCTCGAGCCCAGAAGCCCAGATCGAACAGGAAACACATCTAGTGTGCACACACAAGCACGATCATCTCCACAGCACGACACCCTGCACGGGATGGGCGCACCTTCCGGAGGCGCACTGCTTCTCGCCATCGACGAGATCGGATGATGGATGGCATGGTGGTGATCGCTGATGAGTAATGTGTGGCCCATATAATATCCGCCCTACAGCTGTACTCTTAGGGGTACCATGTGGCTCGCTAGTTGTCGGCGGCTTCAAGCAGCATGTAGTTACGGTACGTGGTAGCATATACGATGTTGAACACAGCAGCCTGGGGATAGTCCGAGATCGCAGGAGCAGCATCTGGATTATTGTGAGTAGTAGTCAATGTGAACATATAATCAAGACATATTGGAAATGGTTGTGGTAGCTTATCCGATAGAAGCTCTACCAGTAGGTATTTTATATGAGCTACCATATACCATATACAGCATATACCGACTTCTGTTTTCATTCACATATCTCTATACCTTTCTTCAAGTCTTTGGTAGGCCGGACTATCATCATCAGAAATGCTTGTATATATCGAGGCGAACAAACACAAGAATGATCTTGAATCCTCTAGCACTTCAATCGGGCCAACAAATGCAAGCAGCACCTGAAACACGAAGAAAGGATACGAATCCTAGGAAACTAGTTTTTATTAACGAACCCAGATTAACTTGTCAAATACCCAGAGAACCAGGCAACAACACAAACGACCAAGAATAAATCACCGAAGGAAGTTCCAGGAAAGCATCCATGTCCAAAACCTAATGACGTCCACGGTCTAGCGCATTTTGGTTTGGAGAGCATCCATGTCCAAAACCTAATGACGGCCATGGTCTCGCGCATTTTGGCTTGGAAAGCATCCATGTCCAAAGCCTAATGACGGCCATGGTCTCGCGCATTTTGGTTTGGAGAGCATCCATGTCCAAAACCTAATGACGTCCATGGTCTAGCGCATTTTGGTTTGGAGAGCATCCATGTCCAAAACCTAATGACGTCCAGGGTCTAGCGCATTTTGGTTTGGAGAGCATCCATGTCCAAAACCTAATGACGTCCATGGTCTAGCGCATTTTGGTTTGGAGAGCATCCATGTCCAAAACCTAATGACGTCCATGGTCTAGCGCATTTTGGTTTGGAGAGCATCCATGTCCAAAACCTAATGACGTCCATGGTCTAGCACATTTTGTTTGGTTTGGAGAGCCTCCATGTCCAAAACCTTTCGAAATGTTGCTTCTTTGCATCGCACCGAGCGGGGATGGTACTTTCCACTGCTCTTTAACAGCTTACTCTGTGGTTCAGTAGTTCAATAACGAGTAGACGCGCAAGAACCGCACATCAGCAGCATCCAGCATTATCATGTTCATCATCACATTCTGCTCCAAGTAAGCAGGTGCAAACTTGGCCAAATGAGCATTCTCCGGCTTCTCGGTCGTCGGTCCATCGTAGAAAGGACACTTCGAACTGTCTTTTCTATGTCCCACCTGCTGACATTTACTGCAGCGGTGTGGACGATCCTTGTCCTTGCTACGCCGCATCTTGGACCGCGACAGCTCTGATGGAACATGTTGTACATCCACGAACTCAGCGACCGGCGTCGCACCAGGGGGGGATGAGGTAGTAGTAGTAGTAGTAGTAGTAGTAGTAGTAGTAGTAGTAGTAGTAGTTCGTATTAGCAGTAGTAGTGGTAGTAGTAGTGTAAGTAGTAGTAGTAGTAGTAGTAGTAGTAGTAGTAGTAGTAGTAGTAGTAGTAGTAGTAGTAGTAGTAGTAGTAACACAGTAGTAGTAGTAGTAGTAGTAGTAGTAGTAGTAGTAGTAGTAGTAGTAGTAGTAGTAGTAGAGTAGTATAGTAGTAGTAGTAGTAGTAGTAGTAGTAGTAGTAGTAGTAGTAGTAGTAGTAGTAGTAGTAGTAGTAGTAGTAGTAGTAGTAGTAGTATATAGTAGTAGTAGTAGTAGTAGTAGTAGTAGTAGTAGTAGTAGTAGTAGTAGTAGTAGTAGTAGTAGTAGTAGTAGTAGTAGTAGTAGTAGTAGTAGTAGTGATAGTAGTAGTAGTAGTAGTAGTAGTAGTAGTAATAGTAGTAGTAGTAGTAGCAGCAGTAGTAGTAGTAGTAGTAGGTACGCACGGACGTACGTACGTAGCAGTAGCAGTACGTAGCAGTAGTAGTACGTAGCAGCAGTACTTAGTAATGTTAAGAAGAATCGGAATTAGTACAAATACTAGCAATGTAGCAAGCAAACTAATGACAGCAATCAGAATGAAGATGCATGCAACGTGTACTCCCAGCTGCCTGCCGGCCAGATCTTGAGGTCTCGAATGGAGCCGCTTAAGACACGGTCGTGCCAGCATGGGTTCCTCACTCCGAGGGGGTCAGATTTGTAGGCTTAGGTGCAGGGGCTTAGGGGATCCTGCGGTTAGGGTTAAGGGGTTTAGGGTTCAGGGTTTAGGGAACCGGTCAAGAAGATTTTAGCGCTCTGGTCCGGGCCTTAGGGTTTAGGGGTTTAGGGTTTAGGGATGAGGGTGTAGAGTTTAGGGGTTAGGGTGAGCTTTGGGATGTGGAGCTGAGGTTTGAGATTGAAAGTCTTGGTGTGTGCAGCTCGCGGCTTATGAGTTGAGGGTTCGAGTGCTTTCTCAAAGTCTCTAAGTGCGGGTTGAAAGGTCGTGCAAGACGCACATATGCCATGCTCCCCGCGACGACACGATCTTCAACCCGAAGTTACGAAGTCCTCAGACCGTCAACTTGTGTAACTTGTGCATCTCATGGACAAGCTGGGAGCCTGGTGTGCATGAGTTTGTGTGCGTGTTCAAGTTCATCATACGACGGAACTGATTGTGGCACCTAGGGTCTGGTTCTTAGTAGGGAATGGGGGAATGAATCCCTAGAACCCATACCCCCATTCCCCACTAAGAACCAGACAGTCTACTTGGAGGATCATGGGACTTAGTAAGTACGGTTATAAGTACCTTAATTGGGGTTATAAGTACTTGCTAGTATAGTTACACCAATAGTAACCTTAGTTACTAAGTCCCATGAACCATTAAGTAACCCTAAGACCCCCTTATAGAACCCTTATAGGTAGCCGAATTGGGGTTATAAGCAGTCATAAGTAGAGATACCCTAACTATATCCTGAGTTACTAAGTCCCTTGATCCTTTAAGTAGGGTCACCACACATTCCAGGGCCTGAGATTCTTGCGGGAGCCGTAAACTTCCCACCCTCAACCCCTAGAGCCAAACATCCGAGCCCCGAACCCACATCTAGGGTTTAGGGTTTAGGGTGTAGGATTCATAGCACCCTTGCCAAAACCTGTCAAAACTGTTATATAATGGCTGATAAAAGCGCTGCCAAGCCTTATAACTTGCAGAATCCACATGAAGAGCTGAAATCCAGTCCTGCCCACTTCGAGCTGTCCATTGTAAGGTATGAAGCGCCCCTGGATCTGTTTCTCCACGCAATTCTCGCGATCTCCATTCAAGTACCTCCAGCTTACGGCTTAGGGTTCAGGGTTTGGGGTTTAGGGGTTTAGGGGTCCGGGTAAAGGGGTTTAGGGAGTATATATAGGTTTACGTAGCCCTGATAAGGCGGCTGTCTGGGCTACTTTCGGAAGATGTTTCAGGGTCGCTCATATGAGGGGCATGGGCTTTAGAGGTTCAAGGCTCCTAAACCTCCAGACCCGAATCCCTCAACCCTAAACCCTCGTCGCATCCGTATACTACCCTTACACCCTTATAGCAACCCTTCTGCTTCCCATATAGTAACCCTTGTCGTGCCCTTTGAACTTATATCCCTGAACCCCAACCCTACTTCAACCTTCAAGTACTCTAAGCTCTAAGATTCAGACTCAGGGTTTGGGGCAAAAGGGTGCAAGGTTCAAGGTCTAGAGTTTGGTTCAGAAGGGAAACTATACTGAACTTAGACCCAGCAAAAATTACAATTTTAGCTGTTTCTTAGGGATTATAATAACCAAAAATTAAAAATCACTTCTAAGTACCCCTAAGGAAACCTCTAACTGTGGATATCTAACTGCCGGCCGAGCAGCAGCTTCAGCGTTGAAGTCGGCGCCTCGCGCCAGGCCCCAAAATTGGGGGGGGGGGGCCGCAAGAATCGAGTTTCTTAATCCCAGAGACTCCAATATCCCTTAATTAAGGAATATACCTTAAATCATATTAGGGGTCCTACTATAATTCAAGGTATATTCCTTAATTATTAAGGGATATTGGAGTTTCTTTGATGGTTCCTTAATGTAAACTGTAGGGCTTCGCGCTTATGGTTTAGGGCTTAAGCTCAAGATAGCGCCCTACTAAGTAGAGTAGGGTTCCTTCAAGGGTACTCAATAAAAAAATAGTTCCTTTAAGGGTACTTGAAGGGCTCCTTTGAGGAAGCCATGTGGGTACGTTTCCAAAGGGCCGTTACTTGTGAGAATCCGGCAATTACAGGGTTTTAACATCATAATAGGTGTACAAGGGGTACTACAGGATATCCTTCTCAAGTACTCGCCTCCCTTGAACCTCAAGACCTAGCCTTAACCGTAACCTCCGGAACTACAAAGCCTGCTCTCGGCAGTCCACAACTTTAAACCTTAAAGTTGGAAGCCCGAACCCTAAACCCTCAACCTTGAACCCTAGACCCCAAACCCTAAGCTCAAAACCCTGCCTTCACCCCAAATAACCTACCTTTTCAAGGACTTATATACAGAAATCATAGTAGGGAAGCCGAAAATAGGCAGGTTGGGTCCAGGTGAGCCCTAAACCCTAAACCCCAAATCCAAAACCCTAAACCCTAAACCCCAAAAACCCTAAACCCTAAGCTTTAAATCGTAAGAGATTCATGGCTACCGGCCCATCCTCGTAGTACATGCACAGATGGATCCATTCGTGGACGGTCCGTGGCCTCGTTTGGGGCTTCGGGTTTCCGGTAAAATGGTGAAGGGTTTAGGGTTTAAAGTCTGGGTTGTAGGGTTTGGGGTTTAGGGTTTAGGGCCTGGGGTTTAGGGTTTGGGGTTTAGGGTTCCGGGGTTGAGGGTTAGGGGCCTAGGGGTGGCAATAAGTTTTGACCGAGTTTTCTCTGTCGGAACCTGACTTTGAATTTGGGGTTGGGCTGGGGCTGGGGTGCCGGGTGTGTGCCAGGCTGGGGGGCGGGGGGCGGAGCTGAAAACAGGGTGGGATTGGGTTTGAATCTTGGGGGAAGGCGCGGACATATACACACACACACACACACACACTGTGTGTGTGTGTGTGTGAGAGAGAGCAACATGCATATGCATGTGGGCGGCTCGACGGGTTTGAGTAAATTGAAACGTTTGGCCACCGAGGCATGGGTAGATTCAGGTCTATAAACCCCAAACCCTACTTTAAAAACCCTTAAGCCTAGATTTGAAGTGGCTTGCACCTGAGTGCGTCAACGCAGGTTGTGGTTTGAAGAACAGAAGGCACAAGTTGACCCAACAACTTATTAAATCTAGCTTTCTGCGCTAGGTTGTTTAAGGTCTAGGGTTTAGGGTTTGGGGTTTAGGGTTTAGGGTTAGTCGCTTGATATTCGGGTGATAAATGGCTGTACGAAATCCAGCTTTGCAGGTCCGCGAGACAAGCTTGAACCGAAAACTTATCGAATCCAGCTCTCTGCGTTGCAGAACGCCAGCAGCGAAACGGTTCAACCGAACACATATCAACTCCGCATTTGTTCAACACAGGGTTGAACCGAAAGCTTGCTGAGCTGACCGTTGTGTAGCCGAGCATGGTTGAACCGAACATGTGTTCACTTCAGCTCTCTGCCTTACAAAATAGGGCGCGGTTGAACCGAATACTTGTCAAATCCACCTCTCTGCATTAGGTTCGATAACAACGCGTCACGCGAGTTGGTTGAAGAGACAGTTTGTCAAAGCGCTTGATAATGGCTGTCCGAAATCCAGCTTTGCAGGTCCCCGAGACAAGCTTGAACCAAAAACTTGTTAAGTCCAGCTCTCTGCGTTAGATAACGGGCAAGGTTGACCCGAAAACGTGTTAAATCCAGATTCGGGATCACCAAGACCTGTTTGAACAGGTTATTTGACAAGTTGCTTGATGAATGGTTGTACCAAGTGTTTGAAGCTTGCAATGGAAATATCCGAGGCTGTACGTCGCCAAGGAAGGTTGACCCGATAAGTTCTAGGATTGGGGCCAAAACCCTTCTCTCAGGAACAAGCTTCGCGACAACTGCAGGGATTGGTTTCTTTACGACGCTGGCTGCAAAAAAACATGACGTCTCCGACGTGGAAGTTTTCATCCCTACCATCTGCATCGAAGCGCTTCAACGGCTTTGGGTTTAGGGTTCAGGGGTTCAGGGGGTTGATGGGTTTAGAGTTGGTAGAATCCTTTAAGGGCTTGGGTGCCACAGTTTTGAGCGAAAGTTTTGAACGAATGCTTCCTTGCTGAATACTGTTTTTGAGCTTGGGGCTGGGGCTTTGGGGGGGGGAGGAGGGTGCTGCTAGAATATTTGTTTAACCCTAAGCCCCAAGAACGCTTTGCAGCCTTGGGTAGTGCTTAGGTGCAGAGTTGGTGGTCGAGGTTGGGGGCTTGGGATTTTGGGCTGTGCATTTCAGGGTGTGCTGTTGTGGGTCTAGGCTGAACGGCTGAGGGCTTGGACTAATGTGAGGACAACTATTGCATTCGGTTCAAGCCCAGTTTAGGCTTAAGGGCCTGACCAGCAGAGCAAACATGCTGCAGTAGAAATGGCTTGCAAAGCCTTAACACACTAAGACATCCCTCGTATATCATGAAGTTTTGCAGATTTTGCAGTATGTCCCAACAGCAGTCTGCTGTGGAGAAAGGTAAATTCTGAAAAGTGAAGAACCGCGGCAGGAATCAACCCCAAAGCCTAAACACCCAACCCTCAACCCCGCCACTGAGACATGCCCTCTGAAACTGCTCAGAGCTGAGAGCTCACGGTGGGGGTATTTATGGTGTAATTAAGGCTCAGGGCTTCTCCAGTGAGTTGCTCATGCTTTTTGGTTTAAGTCTAAGGGCTCAGAACTGGGGTTCGGACGAAGGTTTGGGATGTGCGCCTCTGCAAGCTGTGCATCTAAGCGGAGGGGCATTCTCTTCCAACTCTAAACCCTACAGAAGGGACTGTCCTGGGGCCTGCGCTTTGGTCGTCTAGCTACTTTGCATAGAGTATGATAATCTTTGTGGGACGAGAAACCCTGAACCCCAAACCCTTGTGCGGAGGGGCATTGTCTTCAGCAGCTCGGTGTGCTTCGCTTTCTCGTCGCCTCGCTTGGTGGTGAGCAAGGCAACGGCACCTTTACCTTGCGAGGACGAAGGTGTGGGGGGGGGGTTTGAGGGATGTAGGGTTCTGGGAGGGTTTGCGGTTGATGATATAAATTCTGCATTACCTTCATTGCCCTAAACTATGGGAATTATGGTATATTCCTTATTAATCTGTTATGCAGGATTTATATCATCAACCCTAAACCCTAAAACCCTACAGATCCCTTAAAGGAGCCCTTAAAGGAACCCCTTATAGATCCCTTTAAAGGAACCCCCAGGAGCAACCCTTGGTTCTCATAATGCGCTGATGATCGGCTGTGGGTTGCGACGGTTTAGGGTTTAGGGTTTAGGGTTTAGGGGTTCAGGGGATGGCTTGCTGGACTGGAGTGTCGGGATCACCTCGGATAGACCAAGGGCCTTCAGGCATGTACACATGCAGTTATATGCTGTAGCATACCATACTGCACTATCACTATAACAGTCCATGAGATAGTGAAATTTACCGAAATATGATGACCACAACCAACTACATTTTCAACGGCCGGGTTGTCCGATACCATCGAGAGAGAATTGCTCAAGTTAGAATCCAGGCAACAGGTTTCCACTCTTCGTTCAGGGCTGCGAAGCCTAACAATCTTGGGACGGCCGTGTCAACAGCAGTCGGTTTGGAGAGGCATCATGCATGGGAAGGTTCGGCAGGGATTCAGGCTTTGCGATTTGGAGTCGGGAAGTTGAATATTTCGTGGCGGGGCACTCTTCTCTACACCGACGAAACCGAGCTTCAACAAAATGCCTGGACCCGAAAAAATCTTTACACCCTAAACCCTACACCCTAATCCGTAAACCCTAATCCCTAAACCGCTATACCCGAAAAAAAGGCGGCGCTGCCTCCGATGCGCAGCTCCAGGCCACTTTCCCAACCATGGCGGGATACGATGGGGCCTAAAGGGTCTTGATTTTCTTGGAGAATCTGGGGTAGTTATAAGTAGGGTTATACGTCCCTTAGTATGGGTTATTATAAGTATAGCCATCCTAATTATAACTGTACTTACAACTACCCATGAACCTCCCACTTCACGTCTACAGGACGCTTCAAGCTTTAGGGTCAGGATGTTGAGTTTGGGGTCTACCGGGCTTCAGGAAGTTTCGGGTTTCGGGTTCGGGGTCCAGGGGTTTTGAGGTTTAGGGTTTTGGGCCCTGGGTTGCGGGTTTCGGGTTGTGCTTAGGGTTTAGGTTTTAGGACGTATGGGCGTCTGATGCTTTGTTGGGGAGTTTAGGGTTTAGGGGTTTAGGGTTTAGGGGTTTAGGGTTTAGGCGTTTAAAGTTTAGGGTTTAGGTGCGGTTCTGAGGTTGGGGATAGAGATCTAAGCAACTAAGCAGCATGGGCAATATTGGCCGACCAATCTTGCCTTTGCCATGGCTTCGTGGTTTCGGGGGTAAACGGGGAAAGGCTTCTCCAACTCTTTTTTAACAAATCTTTTTCGATCTTGATTACAACCTTTGCCGAACTCTTTCGGAAGAAGGCCTCATTTATACAACTGCCCCATGAATAGCAGAAGCCACGCCCCTAAAGCCCAAACCCTAAGCGCTAAACACCTAACCGGAAACCCAACATGCATGCAGGACGCAGACCTCATCGAAAGCTGAGGGCTGGAGCTTGTGGGCATCAGGGCTTTGAAGCTGCTGTACCCAAAGCCTTCTTCCTGAACCCTTTGTTGGCCAGGCACTCCAAATCCACAACCCCTTCAAGGGGCTTCTAGAAACCCTGAGCCCGGAACCCTCAATCCCTCTACCCACAAATGCTTTAGGGCCGGGCACCTCGATAGTCTACTGCCGGCCACTCTGCCAGCATCACCGTGACCTCCACCGCAAAGTCCTATGACACGGTCAAGGAAACGAGCTTCGACATACGAGTGTCGGCATCAGGCAAGTGTGCGAAGAAATGCGCTGCAAAGACGACCATAAACATTAAGGACAGACCCAAAGCATAAAGCACGACATAACGAAAACGCGACAATAACAAACCAAACATCGACAAGGAAAAAGAGGTGGCAGGTCAGCTGGCCGGCCAAGGCCTGAATCCTGGAAAATCCTGCCACTCTGGGGGCCATAATAATTAGAATAGGGTTTTGGGGCCCATTATACTATAAGTGTAACAAGGAACCCGAAAAAATGAGTATAGGTAATTATCTAGGTCCCGATATTACACACCCCTAAACCCTAAACCCTCAACCCCCTATATTACACACCGAACCCTTGGGAAGTGCCAGAGGCTCCTCCCTTCAGATCACTGAAGGGTTCAGAGTTTAGGGTTTAGGGTTTAGGGTTTAGGGTTTAGGGTTTAGGGCTCCGAGTGTCGAGCCAGGTGCTGCTAAACCGTGTATTTTTTTTTTGGATGTCTGGGCTTCGGGTTTAGGGCTTACGTGTTTAACCCCAAACATCCTAAACCCCTAAATCTTACGTCCTTAATCCTCAGCGGCGGTCCTGCTGCAGGTCTGGAGCAAAGTTCCATGGCGGGACGACGTAGGATCCCGAGGCCAGGACCAATGTCGCCCCTTGCCAGCCTTAAGAATCGTCCGTTCCCACATCTCCCGATGTCTTGCTGGGACGAGGACATTCAGTTTAGGGTTCAGGGCACAAAGGACCCCCATGCAAGTTGAAGAGATGTTTCCTGTCTGACGGTGTGTTGGACGATCTGGGTAAAGAGTTTCGGGCTTGGGGTCTTAACTTTACGAATCGAAGTCAGAGGCAGTGGACGCTGCACAAGTCCCAGCTGGGACAAGGAGGAACAGAAAGGAGGCTCTACCCAAATCTTGATAACACCTTAGCCGATGTGCGAAAGCTTGAGCTTTCGGGCGGTTGGTAGCCGCTATCCGCTATCCGGTTAACTAGGCCCCTGAGTAGCCCCTCTATAATAAAGGGTTTCCTTTTGCCCACTGTTCGGTTCAAATATGTGGAGCCTAAAACAAAAAGGGCAAAAGGGTACTACAGGAACCTAGAGGTGGTTATAGTACCCTTAGAGCCCTTAAAGGAACCCTAAACCCTAAACCCCTAAAAGTGTCCTAAACCCTAAACCCTTTATAGTACCCTAAATCCTACACCCGTTATAGCACCCTAAACCCTAAACCCCTTATAGTACCCTAAACCCTAAACCCCTGAAAGTACCCTAAACCCCTAAAAGTGCCCTAAACCCTACACCCCTTATAGTACCCTGAACCCTAAACCCCTTATAGTACCCTAAACCCCTAAAAGTGCCCTAAACCCTACACCCCTTATAGCACCCTAAACCCCACACCCCTTCTAGTACCCTAAACCCTACACCCCTTATAGTACCCTAAACCCTACACCCTCAGGGCGACCCGTGCGCAACTTCGCCTCTCATGGCTCTTGCAACCCACAACCTCCTGCAGCATCCTAGGGTTCCCGGAGACTCCAAGATCAAGCTGTTAAGGAATATACCTTAAAGGGTTCCTTAAAGGGGTCCAAGGGATCCTATAAGGGTTCTATGAGGGAAATAAGGAATGTACGTTAAAGTATACTCGGATCCCAATACGATTCAAGAAAACTCCGTAATTGAGGGATGTTGGAGTCCCTGGGTATCGGGTGCGTGCTTAAAGGATCATGGGTCGTAGTAAAGGCTCAGGGATCCCTTAAAGGGACCTATAGGGGGTACTATGAGGGTTTAGGGTTTAGGGGGTACTATGAGGGTTTAGGGTTTAGGGGGTACTATGAGGGTTTAGGGTTTAGGGTCGACTTGGAGGATCATGGGACTTAAAAGGACTAAGGGTACTTGGTTGGGTGTATAAGTAGGTATAAGTATAGTTAACCTAAGAATAACCTTAGTTACTAAGTCTCATAACCCTCCATGTAGGTCAACAGCAACTTCAATGACTTGGAGGCTAGATTGACAGAAACAGGTCGCTGGAGTGAGTTGGAAGTTATCTAGAAGAAGGTCACTGGCTATACAGATGCTGTAGGATGACATAACATAGAAGATCGGGAAAGTTGCATCTTGGCGTCATCTTGGCGTGCTGTCATGCTGCTCCTAGCAGCTTTGGGTCGATGTCTCCACCCGCCGTTCGTTGCCCCGCCAAACCTTCACCACCGAAACCCATAACCCTATGCCCTAAATCCCACTCCTCGAAACAAGATGCATCAGGCTACCTTAAACCCTAAACCCCTTATGGTACCCTAAACCCTAACACCTTATAGTACCTTAAAACCCTGGCCTCTACCCCAAATCCCATTCCTCGAAACAAGATGCATCTATGGGACTTAGTAACTAAGGTTATTAATGTTGGATTCTATTTAATAATAGGGATGGCAATTAAAATATTTCCCGGGCCAGAATTTCCGGGCGCAAGAGGAGTTTAAAGGCGACGGCAGATTTGCCCCAACAACTTATCATAATTTTTCAATCGCAATAATAATAGGGGTGATAATTAAAATATTCCGGCTCCCAAATCCCCAAAAATCTAGAGTACTCCTACTACTACTACTACTACTACTACTACTACTACTACTACTACTACTACTACTACTACTACTACTACTACTACTACTACTACTACTACTACTACTACTACTACTACTACTACTACTACTACTACTACTACTACTACTACTACTACTACTACTACTACTACTACTACTACTACTACTACTACTACTACTACTACTACTACTACTACTACTACTACTACTACTACTATTTTTCAATTGAACGCTGCGCGAGCGTGCTCTGCGCTTTGCGGGCGCCTTTGGTCCCGTGCACTCGTGAAACTGGTTATCTGCTAGCATTCATCGCTCATATTCCTCTCAGACTGCTCAGTTGAGTAAGACTTTACATCTATGGCTTCCTCCCCGGCCACCTTGTTGTGAACAGACGCGTCCGTCTGTGCACCTGTCCCAGCAATTAGGTCGTACTTCGGGCGAAGCCGGCGCCTAGAGTATCCGTCTTGTGGCGTCCCACACGGATTCCTCATGCTGGAGACAGAAAGCCGTAAGGGTCACATGTGCGTACCTGCAGAGCTGAGTGAGTCAAACAGCTGACAGCTGACTGACCATATCGGCTCAGGCGAAGTGCAGTGTCCTGCATTTTGCCGTGGCTAGCGCGCTGCTCTACAGCTCCCGAAGAGATTTGCAAAAGCGTCGGAAGAGCACCGAATTCCCAGAGGCTGTGCCATACGGGATTTGAGGAGTCTGTGACATTTTCTAATTGCTCCCGTACTAAAATGGGTGCTTAGCCTAAGCGCCCATATTGGAGCAAGAGCAATTCAGCACTAAGCTGGACTAAATTGTGGCGCGCTAGGGAGCGGCATTCTCGCCGTCGCTAAAAGTGATTGCAAGGCGTGCTGGGCCCTAGTCAGATCTTGAGTGAATCTAGCACTAGGAGCCATGTCCTTTGGGGAGAGCGCGGCAGTCTTCAAGGCGCGAGCCAAAGACATTGGGGTGTCGGATGAGAGCTTCGCGAAGCTTGAGGCGGAAGGGTTGACAACGATGGCAACTTTTTCCTTCTGTTGTCATTTCAACCCGGCTGCGACAGATGCTTGTGCTCCGGGCTCTTGGCAGTAGCAGGCGAGGCAGTCATGACGGCCAAAGGGAGCTGGGGGGAAGCTGACTAAATAAAAAGAGCTGATTGAGAGGAAGGAAATTACAGAGTGTGCATGTCCGCGTGCGCTCATGACGCACTTGGCCTTGACGTGAGGCGGCCTGCGTCAACATGAAATTGACTACAGGCTTCTCATGCACGGGCGCCCTGCTTAGCCCTGAGGGCCGAGGTTGGGCCGGCATGCATCGCCTGAAGCGATGATGCTGCTAACGAGTTCGTTGCAAGAAAAGCATGTAGACGTTTCGGGAAAGTGATTGAACCAAGGCCGCTGAGGCCCTCTCCGGAAGCTTGTAGTCGTCGCAAATCCACACCTGAGATCTCGCATCCGCGGGGTCCTCTGGCCAGAAGGCTCGGTAGTGCCCGGACGCTAGGGAGTCCCCAAAGTGGGCAACTCCTGCCAGGACTTGGTAGGATCGTTGGGCAGTGTGCTCGCTGGATGTCCACACGGACACCATGGCACGGCCGGTCCAGGCGCACGGCTGGGTATTCTTGACCCCGTCTTGCCATCTGCAAATCACAACAGCTAGGAGTTCTGGGGCCCATACCAGCGCTCGACTAAAAGTTTGCGATTCCCAGAATCTTAGGCAGGCTTGGAGAGACAGAGGTCCCGTCGGAAGGGGAAGGAGAAGAGGACTGACTCCCACATCCGACTCCTCAACGATTCCCCCAGTACGACCCTGCCACTGAGTGTGCTGAAGGGATCCCATGGGCTTTTGCTGCAGATGGTGAAGAAATTCTGAGACATCGTGTTGCCTGCCATCCAGTCGCCAACCGGCAATGGCATGGCGAAACTCAAACAGGCCGAACAAGTTCAGAAGTCTAGGGACACTCTCATCCCCGAAATGGGTTAAGACAGATTGAAAAGCACCCAGATCATACCCAAAGCTCGATACTTGATGCAAGGCCTGGAAGAGAGCGTTAGCGTAGCAGGAGTTTGCCGTGTTAGACAGTACACGTTTGTGTAAGCCTGTAGGCTGTGGCTCTGTGTTCCTGGGGGCCTGCGTCACAGACTCCTGGTTCGAGTCTGTTGTAGGATGACGAGCTGTGCTCGACGAGTTGGAGGCTGTGCCATTCGACCTAGGTCTAAAAAAGCTGGCCAACGACTTTGTCTGAGGCTTGGGAGGCGGGGCGACGGGATCGACGTCCGCGTCAGGCTGCCGCGTGCTTACCTGATAGAGCACCGGACACTGCTCCGGATGCAGTCTGCGGTCATAGACCTTGTAGCCACAGAAGGGACATGAGTGGCCCTTGGCTAACTGGGGCGAGTAGCCCTGACAGATATTAACAGCCCGCCTGTGTAGGCGTGACCAGTCCTTAGGATGCGCCTGACGAAAGTGCGACTTGACTTTGGTGTGGTCAAAAGTCCAGAAGTCACACGTTAAGCACCGATGATTAAGGACCTTGGAATCCGCAGTCCTCGAGAGCTCCGCGATGCGGTGTTGTGGGAGCAGAGCAATGTCCTGTCTCAGCTGGAAGAGAGTCCTAATATCGGGATGGCTGGACTGTTTGTCTGCTTCTTTTAGTGAACGGAGCTTCTGAGGTTCCGGACATGCCCCCGAAAGCAAGTGGTCACGTAGGCCTTTCCATTGATGGAATTTACGCTTACATGCCGCACATTGCGGCATCCCATCCACAGAGTGGAGCTTTCTATCGAAGCTTGAAGGCACAAAGCGGTCAATGCTCGCCGGGTGAACCCTCGACTTATGCAAATGTAGTCCATTTGCTGTCTCAAATGAAGCCGCGCAGAGCGTGCACTCGTATGAGGTTACCGGATGTTCCTCGGGCTCAGGGAGTTGTGACAGGACCAACAGCTTATCTCGGATAACCTGCAGAACCGAGGGGTCTGTCGTGATGTCCGGGCTTTGCACTGCTCGTCGCTCCAGTTTGCGAAGCCGCTTCCTTAGCTTGGACTGCAGTGCGTGGACAGGGTCCTGGATGTTGTAGAGCTGGAAG